GCACAGAAGAGTTAGAGGGAATGTGAAACAAAAAAAGTTTGTCAGATATAAACATCGGTGTGTTTTTCCTTATTCACTAAGCCTTTTGTTAATATGGCATTGTTCACATTGTATAATTATTAGCTAAGTTGATGGTTTTTTAAATTAATAGATTAAAGTTATATAATTTTAATGTGTGATTTATTAAACTGGGTTTTTAAAACCTACATTTAAATTTTTCATGAATGGATTGATTGAACATTGTTGACTAAGGTTAATAAATTGAACCTAAATGGTATCATCCAGAAATTTATCAGCCAAGCTGGATACAATTGTACATTTTTAAACAGGAGTAAATTGGATATATTCAAACGACAAGTGTAATTTAGACCAAGTACTACACAATCTATCCCAGTACTAATCCTAAACCGAGTCGCTTAGTTCTAGTCCTACCCCATAATGTACTAGTCCTACCAGGGCATAGGGCGCTATCAGAGTTTCTTCCAGGCATCTCTTCGGGGGGGGGGGGGGGGGCTCCGCCCCCCTCCCCCGAAAAAAGTCTACCGCCCCCCCCCCCCCGAACGAAATGAAATTGATATAGACAGTACATACTTTTAACAGTGTCGGCCCCCCGAAAAAAGATTACCGCCCCCTCCCCCCGAAAATTTAAAGTGCCCCCCGGAGAAAAAAGTCTGTAAGAAACACTGTGCGCTATTCACAGAGGGCGCAAAAACGTGTAATCGCCATTATTAAAAAGTAATAATAACTTTATATTATATAAACTATAGACAGGGTAATATACAAACGCGTAGCGATCTATTTCGGTGCCCATGACGAACAATTAATTTTGCGCCCCCTCCTCAAATTAGACCTATTTATAGTTATTCGCGTGTTTGGAAATACTTCTCCCACTTAACTCATTTGGAAAGGTAAAGGCTTGCTTTTTACCAGTCACTTTGCCTTTTTATTTTGGTGTCACACAATTGATGTAGAAAGCAATTAAATAAGTACGTAATGACAAGTAGCAGTCAACATTCTTTATTTCGACCAGTGTTTCTTCCAGCCTTTTTTTACGGGGGTGCTCTCGATATTTTCGGTAGGCGGTCAACATTTTTCGGGGGCGGACGGGGGCGGACACTAGTAAAAGTGTATGTTTCGGGGGGGGGGGGGGTGACTTCGATTGTTTATAATTCAGTATAGCTTTTAATATTAGTATCTGCGGCTCTCTTCTAGCAAAGCCTCTGTTAATTAAATGAGATAATTATTGTATTTATTAATGTAAATCTTTCAATTACGAACATTGTCTGTGTCTGTGTGTGTCTATATGTGTATCTGTGTGTGTGTATATGTGTGTCTGTTTGTGTGTCTGTGTCTGTGTGTGTCTGTATGTGTATCTGTGTGTGTGTGTGTCTGTGTCTGTCTGTGTGTGTCTGTGTGTGTGTCTGTGTGTGTGTCTGTGTGCGTGTCTGTGTGTGTGTGTGCGTGTGTGTGCGTGCGTGTGTGTGCGAGTGTGCGTGTGTGCGTTCGTGCGTGTGTGTGAGACACAAGAACAGCCCCCCCCCCCCCCCCCCACACACACATAACACATAATTATGTACTTCAGTCATGTACGGACTGATAACCCTGTATGTTTATGAGTTCCAATAAATCGGCACAACTCGTGTTATCTCAAGAGTTCGGAGAATTTCAAAGAGAGATAACAAAGTCACGTGACAGTGACATGAATTATGCTGAGCGGAGGAACAGATGGCAATGATAGACTAACAGTATTAATTGGAGTGCGAGCGATCCAGAACCTCGGACTCTAAGAAAAACGAAATTAATCTATGATGAAGTTAAAACAAAGCCAAACCTAAAAACTAGAACTTTTGGATGAACTTAAGGGTCGTCCATAAATGACGTCACACTCGTAGGGGGGAGGGGGGGGGGTCGTAATGTTGTGACAGTGTGTGATGTGGGGGAGGGGGGGGGGGTTCAGATGGTGTGACGTCACAATATTGCATTATAAAAAAAAACAATGTTGGAAAACGAATTTTAGACGTTATTTCGCGTTTCAGAAAACTGTTTTAATTAATTGCAATAGGAATTGATTAAAATACTCTATTTTGACAGAGTTCAGACTAGATTTTGGAAAAATATCGATGTTTTAAAAAAAATTCAACTGCAATTTTTAGGGGGGTTGCAGGCTGAGGTGTGACGTCATTTTAGGAGGGGGGGGGGTCTGGCTTTTTGTGACGATGTGTGACGGAGGGGAAGGGGGGAGGTAAAAATCGTCAAAAAAGCGTGACGTCATTTATGGATGACCCCTTAAACAAAATAAAATCTAAAAACTAGAACTTAATATAATATGTATACATTTTAGTATGCTTGTAAATCTGTGAAAAGCAAACATTATTATTTTACTCTTATGTTGTAAAGTTTATATTATGTCCACAAATGTGGACGATTGGTGAAGGGAAAAGACAACAGACGCTAGGCTGATGTTTGTCTTTGTCTGGTAATATTAAACCAACCCTTAACTTGAACCTAGTAGCCCAAACCTAAACCTGAACTTAAAGCTCCACCTGTACCTTAACTAAAAACCGGAATGTAAACCTTATAATCATACCCCTACACAGTGGTGTAGAGAGGTCGGGTGTCACCCGGTGTCACCCCTTCCCCCCCCCCCCCCCACCCCCGTAAGAATATATATGTTGACGGAGTTCTGATAAGATTTTGGAAAAATATCGATGTTTTAAGAAAAATTCAACAGCAATTTTGAGGGGGGGGGGAAGCTGAAGCGTGACGTCATTTTAGGGTGAGGTCTGGCTTTTTTGTAACAACGTGTGACGGAGGGGAGTGGGGGGGGGGGGGGAGGTAATAATAGTCCCAAAAAAAAGCGTGACGTCATTTATGGATGACCCCTAACTAACACTAAGATATTCACATTAAATATCTAGCTTGGCCTAAGTTCATCCAACTTTTATGCTATATTAACAACTACTTATTAAGATACGAATTTTTCTTATTGCCCTACTAAGCATAGTTGACTCATTCCTAGCAAATTCACTACAATAGTAATAGAAATTAGGCTGTAAATTTATGTCTGTCTTATGAATTACGTCATTAACTTTCTGTATCTTGTCTGGCGTTCTACTTTTTTCCTTCTTTTACTTTTACTTGAATTTTATACATTGGCATAATATTTCATTTTCTTGATTTTGTCCTTTTTACAAGCTTTTATTTAACTCACTTCCTCTGTCGACAGTCTGTCGACAGTCTGTCTGTCTGGATGGAAACGCAGGAGTGAAAATTCGGACAGTTCTACTTGACAGATACAATTCACATTTGACACGTGGGTCAAGACATGAAGACAATGCAATCTGAAACTAAATTTGACTTAATTGGATGCCTAATTAATTTTTTATGAATTAATAAAAATTTGGACCGAATTAGTAGGCATGTCTAGCCAACCACACCACACGCGTCATCACCTTCAATAGCTGCGCCATCATGTAATGGCTGCGTTCAAAAACCATTGCGCGCCTACTGAACGTGATGTTCAGTAGGCGCGCAATGGTTTTTAGTCATGTAACTCTATTGTAAATAAAACATGTAAAGTACTGAAAAAAAAATTCATAAAAAACGTTTTAATAACAAGCTTTTATGTAATGATGCACTAAAAAGTAGAAAATAAATTATACACTACTATTTAAATTACTATAAAGAAAAGCGTGGGTGTCTTCCTTAACATTAGTAAAGGTATCCAATAGATACTAAAGTGACCCACGCTTTTCTTTATAGTTATTTAAATAGTAGTCTATAATTTATTTTCTACTTTTTAGTGCATCATTACATAAAAGCTTGTTATTAAAACGTTTTTTATGAATTTTTTTTTACAAGCTTTTATTTAACTCACTTCCTCTGTCGACAGTCTGTCGACATTCTGTCGACAGTCTGTCTGTCTAGATGGAAACGCAGGAGTGAAAATTCGGACAGTTCTACTTGACCGATACGATTCACAGTTGGCACGTGGGTCAAGACATGAAGACAATGCAATCTGAATCTAAATTTGACTTAATTGGATGCCTAATTAATTTTTTATGAATTAATTAAAATTTGGACCGAATTAGTAGGCATGTCTTTCCATCCACACCACACGCGTCATCACGTGGAATAGCTGCGCTCAAAAACCATTGCGCGCCTACTGAACGTGATGTTCAGTAGGCGCGCAATGGTTTTTAGTCATGTAACTCTATTGTAAATAAAACATGTAAAGTACTGAAAAAAAAATTCATAAAAAACGTTTTAATAACAAGCTTTTATGTAATGATGCACTAAAAAGTAGAAAATAAATTATACACTACTATTTAAATTACTATAAAGAAAAGCGTGGGTCTCTTCTCAAATATTAGTAAAGTTATCCAATAGGTACTAAAGTACTAAATTGACCCACGCTTTTCTTTATAGTAATTTAAATAGTAGTGTATAATTTATTTTCTACTTTTTAGTGCATCATTACATAAAAGCTTGTTATTAAAACGTTTTTTATGAATTTTTTTTTGACCAAATATAGATCTAGTACTTTATTTTCGATTTCTCAAAAAATAGAACTTCTACTGAACCAGAGGCGTAGCGACCCTTCCCGGCGAAATCACTCATTTTATTGTCATGAGCGATCGATGGTCCGGACTATGTTATTTTTAGGGAGCGTCGGCTTTATATAAACACAATGTCTGGGTTGGTGATGACAGGTGGTATTTAAACGTACGTGTGTGCAAGTGTTAAAATTTTAAAAAGAAAACGAAGCTTGTGATGCAAACATTAAAACTTTCGTTTTTATAGTGAAAACCAACAATTAAGCGGTAAATTTGGGGGCCCCTTTAAATCGGGGCCCCTGGCTGCAACCCTTTCAGCACTCCCCTTAATCCGCCACTGATCCTTAGATAGGCCCGTACCTTCATTTTTAACCGTGTAGTAGTAGGCCAAAACTGAAACCAAAAGGGACCAAGTTCCAAGAAACCCGCGTCACTATCTGATAGATTTATTCCCCGACAACGTAGCCGAATATTTTAATCTATCGCCTAAAAATATTGCACTAACTTGTACTATACGTTCGTAGTCGAATATGTATTTGAGAGAATCGATCTGATATCGTCGTTATTTTCTTATGAATACAAAGCGTAGGCTAAGGCCCAACGTCATCACATAAACAAATCTTAGAGAAAATTTTGTAAGTTGCATTATTTGATTACAGCTAGAAATCTAGATCTAATCTATAATACTCATATTTAAAGACAAATTCATTAATTCACTCTCCCCCACATTACTAGTTTTGGCCGAATTTACGACGCTAAACTATTAGGCCCCTAACTAAGGTTTACCATAGAGATCGAGACCAGATTCTATTTCTAGTGATTCTACAAAAGCACATAGATCTAGATTCTAGATCTAGATCTAGATTAGATCTAGATCTAGATCTAGATTATAGAATCTAGATCTAGAATCTAGATCTAGATAGATACGTATGAATATTTTTTTAAATGTTAAGCCTTATTTATTAGGCTACTAAACTAGATCTAGATCTAGACCTAGTTTAGTTAGTAGATCTAGTATCTAGATCTACCAAGTAGGCCTAGATCTAGAGATTATTACTTATTACACTGAACTCTAGATCTACAAAGATCTAGCCATGTACTAGATCTACATGGCTAGATCTTTGTAGATCTAGAGTTCAGTAGATCTAATAATCTAGGCCTACTGGAAGATCTAGATCTATAAGTTACTACTAACTAGTAGATCTAGATCTAGTTTAGTAGCCTAAATATTAAATAAGGCTTAGAGTCTAACATTTAAAAAAATATTCATACGTTTCTAGATCTAGATCTATGTGCTTATAATTTTGTACTACGATCTGATTCGTCTCCTACTCTACATTTACATCAAGATATAAGAAGTCTGTTGAGTTTTGAAGTCTTTGACCTCCATTGCCTTTTAGGCTTTTACTAAGCATACAGTATACACATATTGTAAAATCTCATCTACTATACTACTGACTGTAGCCTATACAAAATAAATATATTCTAGTTCTATAGGCCTTATTCTAATAATATAATATTTAGGCCTAACCTACACATCTAGTATCAGAAATAATATTAGGACTGTGCGTTCACATGCTAGAGCATTTGGCTGCTAAACCAAAAATGTCAAGTACGGATCCTGGGTTTGAAAGTGAGTCCACCCAGCTCTGATGGGTACCTGACTTGTATAGGCAAAGTAAACGGTGAACGGAAAAAAAGTCACAGGAAAAAAAAAAACAGAAAAAAAGTCACAGTTTTTGCTAGGAAAAAAAGTCACAGAAAAAAAGTCACAGTGGAAAAATTTTATTGGAAAAAAAGTCACAGAAATAAAGTCACAGAAAAAAAGTCACAAAAATCTTTTTAGAAATATTTTTACTAATTTGTTAAGAATTGTAAAATTTTGTATGTTTATTGTTGTGGGTTGTATTTTTTGATAGCATAAATTATTTACAGACGTTAAAAGCCTCATGATTTATAACAAATGTAAGTAAAAATACTCTAAGATAATTAACACAACAATCTCAACTTTTGTTACGTATTTAGTTAAATACGCGGTAGAAAAGTTAATTATAAAAGAAATTTAGGCACATTTTGCTGTAGGCTATTCTCTGGTCGGCCCCTCCTCAGTAGGCATTGTCCGAACATATTTTGTGTTGTTGACGTTATGCGTCAATGACAGCCTTTGAACCTTGTCGGCTTTCTGTTTTGATCCTAAGTTTTGTTATGTAATGAGCGTGATAAATGTGGGCAGTAAAAGTGGTTGAACTAAACATAACTATTGTTGCCATGAGTTGAGGACAGCAAGTCAGATGAACTTACCATTTCACGGTAATTTAATATTGGTATTTAAAAAAAAAAACACGATGAACAACGTGGACTTTGGAGCTTTCTATTAAATGCTACTAATCTTACGTTTAAAATAATTACAATCTACATACTTCATAATAAATATTTTTAGATGAATTATAAAAATTCCTATGCGTATACAGCCTACACACATTACATTACATTTAATTAATCCTAAGTTAATTTGCACTCTCTAAATATTTAATACATAAAATTTATAACAAATATCATGCAAATATATATTTGTGACTTTTTTTCCTGTGACTTTTTTTCCTGTGACTTTTTTTCTGTGTTTTTTTTTTCCTGTGTTTTTTTTTCCTGTGACTTTTTTTCCTACAATCAAGTAAACAATGCTGGGCATTGTGCTGACCACACTATCCCAAGACTAACCCTTCATATGTGAGGTCACTGAAAGTGAAACTGTACTTCACCTGCCCCATGGACTATAAGGTCCGAAAGGTTAAATAACTTTGTCATGTAGCCAGTAGCCTTGTGATGACAAAATAGATCTACTTAAGTCAGTTGTTTAGTATTATAATTATTTGATTTGATTATTCTTTTCTACTATTGTTCCCCCACCCAGCTAACATGAGTAATGTTTGAGAGCATTTTTAAAAGACCGTGAAATATATTTGTCAGATTTAGACTAGGGTTTTTTTTATAAACATACAAATTGGGACACAATATATTATTCCACCAATCAGACAACAGAATATAAATAGGCCTAGCTTGAGTACAAATAAGAGTTCTGTCAAGCAGCACATTCATCCCTGTACTCCAGTGTCATAAGGCTACTGTACTTTGGTGCTCACTTCTTGAACTTGATATACATCATTTTACCCAATACAACATTAGGTTTCAAATTTTAAAAACCTATGTCGTTACACTCTCTAGGCCTAGAGTAGAGTGACTCGATCTCCTACAAAGCGATGCTTGAAATAGACTTTGGTTTCTAGGTTGAAGTGATCCTTGGGCTACAGTACACTCTATCCAGTAGTGCAGATTTCCCTAGAGATTATTCTTATATCCATATTTTTATTTCTATTTAATAATTATTTTGTTGGAATACTTAAAGGTTGTTTTTTTTTTTGCCATTTCAGTTGAACTAGAAATGCTGTTATTCCTGCATCTCAAAAGACAGCATCGTTTTAAAATAAATTAACGGTACTAAACTTACTTATAAAAATTCTTGACAGGTGTAGTTATAGCAACATAAGTTGAATTAACCCCACATTGTTCTAAAGCCTACAAAACAACTGGGCAATCAAATAAAAAGATGATCAGCCACTAAATAAAATTGTAATAGGGAGTGTAAACATTAAAATTAAAAGTATACCCTGGCCAATTATGTAACTACAAAATGATTATCAATAACAATTTAACACTTCAGTATAACCAAAATGATTATCAATAACAATTTAACACTTCAGTATAACCAAAATGATTATCAACAACAATTTAACACTTCAGTATAACCAAAATGATTATCAATAACAATTTAACACTTCAGTATAACCAAAATGATTATCAACAACAATTTAACACTTCAGTATAACCAAAATGATTATCAACAACAATTTAACACTTCAGTATAACCAAATTGTCAGGATAAGATTTTAGATAGGGCTTTTCTGAACTGTTTTAGTAATTGGAATAGAATTTTGAGCCCTGTATTTAACTGTTTTAGTAATTGGAATAGAATTTTGAGCCCTGTATTTAACTGTTTTAGTAATTGGAATAGAATTTTGAGCCCTGTATTTAACTGTTTTAGTTAATGGAATAGAATTTTGAGCCCTGTTTTTAACTGTTTTAGTTAATGGAATAGAATTTTGAGCCCTGTATTTAACTGTTTTAGTTAATGGAATAGAATTTTGAGCCCTGTATTTAACAGTTTTAGTAATTGGAATAGAATTTTGAGCTCTTATGCTTCTATTGTCAAACAGCCCATTTACAATAACTAGAACTATTTTTATTATAAGTATGAACATTTTAGTCCATCATTTATCTGTTGTTTATTATAAATTTCAGTAGTGCGCTGCAGCCTGTGTCACATCATTGAGAGCAGCCTCAGACTGACCAGCAAGAGATGTTGGTTGATCCAGAAGAATGACAAGTACTTTCTTCTAACCACAGAAAAGCTGTATTTAAAAAACCTTTAAATCCATTATATTTTATAGTGGAAAAAAAGGATTTTTCATTAGCTGTTCATGAAATGTTTAGATTTTACTGTTTTAATTAATTAAATAGTTGATTTTATAAACCTGTCATGTCTTCTGGCAATCGCAACAGGGGTAACACCAATCCCAGGGGTAACATCAATCCCAGGGGTGGTAGAGGTGGGCCCCATCCGTACCCTGCTCAAGGCTATCATCCTGCTCCACTCATGCACAGTGACCTCCATTATCCCCACCCAAATCAGCCCCACAACCCCCCTTATGCCTACCCCAGTCCACACCAACCCCCACTACTTTCTTATCCCTCCCCTGTTCAGCCCTCCCCTTACCACGTGACTGTGACAGTCAATCATGGTGATGCTCACCCAGCTGGCTACCCCAGAGCTCCTCCACAGGACCATTACGTGCCACACCCTGTGGAGCCACACTATGGTTATGTCCCACACGAGGGCCTACAGTATCCGCATGCTGACAACCCAAACAGGTATCACCAGAGGCCTGATGGGCCACCGCACCACGGCTTTCATGCCAACCCTCCTTTTGATGAGAGACGTTCCTCAGGTGGACATATTTATGAAGGGCGAGAAAATGCCAAAAATAATTTTCAGCCACCTAAAGGCAGACAACATGAAAGAGGTGGCAGGTCCCAACACAAGGCACCACCCCCATACAGCCGACACAATGACTCACAGTATAGCCAGTTCCCAGCAGAGCCTCCCCCACCATATGAAACCATTTCTCCAACACCTCAGAAACCTAGAAGTCAGGGGGGGCATCAAGACAGATCCCGTCCTGATAAAAAATCTGACAACCTACCTGGTGACAAGCATGTGAGAGATCATTCAGCATGCAGTAATGCCAGTGTCAAATCAAACCAAAGTCAGAATCAACATAAACCTAACAGGGGTCAAGGTCAGCTCAATAAGAAAATGATTCCCAAAGGTCCAGCTCATGGAGTGTCTGTGGATGATCTGACTATGAAATCACCCTCTTCAGGTGAAACTGCTCAGAACTGTAGAGAAGGAAATCGCGGGCGTGGACGAGGTAGCAGAGGTCGTGGTTCCTGGAATCGTAGGGGAAAACCAGCAGCTAACAGGTTTACAAGCATGCCAGACTTAAGTCTGGGCCAAACTGTTGGTGCAAGGTTCAATCCTTCTGCAGACAGAGCTGTTCCAAATCTGTCAGCACATCAAGCCCAGGCTTCAACTGATGCTCAAATGGGTGAAGCCTCCAAGCAAAGTGTAAACACAGCATCACTCAGGGTAACAAAAGCAGCCCTTCAGATCCTATCTACCTTCACCTCAGCCAGCCATCTGAAGGAGACAGTCAAACTTAGTTTAGAAACCTCAGATAAAGTTGACGTTGATTTTGTCAGAGATTCAATCATCTGTGGTGAAAACAGAGGGCTTTGTACTCTGATCATTCAGACAGATAGCAAGCAGTTAGCCAAACGTGTGGTGAAGAATTTGTGCCAAAATATTAGAAAAAAACTTGGAGCTAATGTATCTTTTGTCATTTCTAGCTCAGAAGATGACATGGCAACCAAGGAGGAAGAAATGCCTCAGTTGCCAGTGAAGAATAAAAAAGAAAGCAAAAGAAGAAGAAAAGCAACGGACATTCTTTCCAATCTTGGTAAAAATGTTGTTGTTGTTCAGCCTAACTTAAATATGGAGCATGAAAAAGATGAAGAGGCAGAAAGTGATTTAGGGCAAACACCTTCAGCAGAAAGTTGCACCAAAGAAAAAACTCCAACACCTATCCCCACAAAGATTGTTGTAACAATTGGCAGAAGTTTCACAGACAAGAATAGCGTACATGAATTCATGAGGAAAGCAACGGATGAAAAAACAGATCCTTTTCAAGTTGTTGAAGAATCCATTGCAATGTCAGCCACTAAGACACTGTTGGATCTCTTGGCCCCCAGCAAGGCAGCTGCTGCAAGGATAGTTAAAAAGTTAAACGCGTTTCAGCTTGATGATGTGGTTGTCAGATCAAACATTGCATCAGATAAAACAACAAAAGATACTAGGACGCCTTGTGACAAAGTGATAGACAGTTCAGATCAGATGTGTCTTCAGACATTAGAAAATCATCAACATAAAATAGACAACTATGATAAAGCTTTTAATATCATGCAGGCAAATCCTAATGGAAAAGATGGGCAACAGAATGATGAAGATGAAGATGAAATATTGGCATTCAGAAATAAATTACAAGAAGCAATCAAACAAAAATGTGTTTTTGAAGATTGGAAGAAAGTTTTTCAAGAAAAGATTAAAAACTCAAACATTTCTAACGAGATATTGAAAGTTTTCCACCAAGAGACAGTGACAGAATGCAACCGTTTAGCTGCAGGGCTGCCTGTATATGCAAAGAAGAAAGACATTGTGGACCTGGTGAAAAAAAATCAAGTCTCTGTCATACTGGGTGAGACAGGCTCAGGAAAAAGTACCCAGATAGCCCAGTACCTGTACGAGGCTGGTCTAGCAGGAAGTGGTGCTATCATCTGTACACAGCCTCGTAAAGTGGCGGCCTTAAATCTTGCTGAATTTGTGGCTAAAGAGTTGGGTGAAAAACCTGGCCACTTGGTTGGTTATGACAATGGTATCAAAAGGCTGGTCGCAGACTACAGTAAAATTATATATTCTACAGACCTCTGTCTGTTAAACGAGTACATCCACGATCCTGTTTTGTCAAAGTACTCCTGCATCATAGTGGATGAAGCAAATGAACGTAGCGTTTACACTGATATTGTACTAGGTCTGATCAAGGAAAGTTTGGCTAAAAGACAAGACTTGAAGCTGGTAATTCTTTCAGCTCTGCAGGATTCTGACATCTTCTGTCAGTACTTTGAAACATCTTCAGTGCTGGAGGTATCAGGGAAGCCATTTTCTGTGGAGGTTGTGTATGAAGGTAATGAGGATTCAGTGGAGTTTGAAGATCATGAGATGAGAGCTGTTTCTAAAGCCATCCATGTGCACAAGACTGAAGGTCCAGGGGATGTTCTGGTCTTCTTGGCATCTCCAGCAGAAGTTCTAAGATGCTGTGAAGAGTTAGAAAGGCAGTTAGTAGGCATGAACAATTTCAAATGTTTTCCTCTGCATGACCAAGTTTCTCCAGATGAACTAAAAAAAGTGCTCCAGAAGTTGCCAGAAAGTGTTAGAAAAATTGTTCTTGCCACAAATTGTGCAGAAACTGTATTCCCTATAGGTGGAATCAAATATGTCATAGACACAGGCGTGGTAAAAGAAATGCAGTATGAGCACAGGAAAAAGATACATAGTCTAGCTACACACATCATTAGCAGGAGCTGTGCTGATCAGAGAAAAACAATCGCTGGACTAGCAGCTACTGGAAAATGCTACAGACTCTACACTGAAGAAAGTTATAACACAATGAAGGCTGTCAGTGATCCTGGTTTGTTGAAAGAAAATTTAGCTAAACCTTTCCTCAAACTTACAGAGATGAAAATAGATTATGTCACCTTTAACTTTATTAAACCACCTCCCATGGAAGCTTTTGAATCAGCACTAAGCCGCCTGCAAGATTTTGGAGCATTTTCCTACATTGGACTGAAAGAGTTAGGCCGATGGATTTCACTGCTACCTTTTGAGCCCAGTCAGGGATATCTCATTTATGAAGGCTATAAACAGAATCTTCTGTATGAGTCTGTAGTTCTGGCTGCACTAATCAACAGTGGCATGGACATATTTGCTGACTCTCAGGTACCAGCTGAAACAGGCGCCATCTCCCCTTATGGAGATCTCTTCAGCTGGTTTGAGCTGTACCGTCTGTGGATCACAAGTCCTGTGAACCAGAGGCCCACAGTCTGTCAGCAGCATAACCTCAGCCACAAAGTGTTAAACACTGTCAAACATTTTGTCACAGAAGTAGCCCTTCTTTTGAGCAACACACTAAATATCAAACTAGAGTACAGTTTTTCCCAAGATCCATCCTGCATCCAGAAACTAAGAAAAATTGTTTTTAATGCCTATGTTTCCAATGTGTGTCAGAGCATGGACCATGTAGGCTGCAGTTTCTTTTCACTCTCACTGAATCGCCAGGTGAATATCGACCCAGCTTCTACTTTAGCTGATAGTCAAGTCCAACCACAATGGCTAGTTTATACCAACTATTTAAAAACACACAAAGATTTTATACAAGGAATTACTGTAGTTGAGGAAGACTGGGTCTTAGAGGTCATACAGAAAGGCAAAATGAAAAAGGCCAACATTTGTAAAAGCCAATTAATGCACAGGGAAGAGGTTGGTGCCTCAGTTTTTAACTGTATGGTTGGTCCTCTGTATGTGAAGCTACAGAGCCTTGAAGATACCCTGGCACAATCTGGTATGGCCAATGTTGTGGTGGAAGCTGATAGGTACTTGGGCACTTTGGATGTTTACTCTTCTTCTCCCATGAGTCAGGAAACCATCAGGCATCTTCAGCTTTTGAAGGCTGATGTGCTCAACACGTTGCACCAGGAAGAAGCAGAAGTTCCTTTTGTGAAGAGTTCTGGGAATAGCCAGAGTGGATTTAGAGCTCTCTTTGGTCTGGGAGGGAATGTAAAGACTTTACTGTTCCCAGATCAAAGTGACACTGTAACAATTAGGAAAGTGAGGCGAGACACAACAGAGGAGGAAATCAGAAATAAATTCAAAGCTTTTGGAGTGATCAAAGAATGTGTTAGTTACAAAGGCTATGAGCCCTGGGGCCATGTTAGGTACAGCACATGTTTGGAGGCAGATATGGCAGTCCACGCTACTAGGAGTGATGCTTCCAACATCGCAGAATTAAAAACCAACAGTGCTTATAGAAGAATCAGGAGCAAATTTGAAGCCCGGCTGTCCTGGGTAAGAAAGCCCATTGTTGGCAACGGCACTGCTATCATATCTTGTCCACCAATTGAGAGGTCTATTCTTTTGGGCAAGTGGTTAACCTTGCCTGACAGGAGAGTTCTCATTGAAGAGTCAACTAGAAATCAAACGACACTCAATTGCTTCAACACTGGAGATGCCTCTGAAAGGGACATCAAGAAAGCAATCATGGCTCTACTGGATTATGATGAATCTAAGGAAAACAATATCCATGTCAGGCTACTTAGACAGAAGGTTGCTGCTTTGTCCAAGCAGGAATTAAATCAAGTTAAGCGCTTGATTAGTGAGCAATTCCAGAGGTTTATGTCTGATAGTTTTAATGTCTCCTTGGTGCCTGTCAAGGATTCCTCCATTAATCAGGTAGCTATCATCTACTTCAACAACCCTGTGGCAGGTTTTAAAGCCTGCAAACAGGCACAAGGGCAACTTTTTCTAGGAACACAAAACATTGAGATCTGTCCCAGTTTGAAAACAACAGTTAATGTAGCCCAACCCATCATGGATGTGCTCAAATCTGAAATAAATGAAATCATTACTGACCTGAAGAAAGATAAAGGTGTGGAGATCACACAGAGAGAAAAGAAACAAGGGGATTTTGCTTTAGATATTCTGTCTTCTAGGCCGGAACTTCTGGTTGAAGCGAGAGATATACTGCAGAAGGAGCTGGAAGGTCTGACAGTGGAATGTAGGGGAAACGACATCCTTAAAATACTTGTCAAAGCACAAGGAGAGAAGCTGTTGGAAGAAGTTGAGAAGAGCCACTCCGTGGTGATCATTGTTGACAGCCGCAAGGAGAGGATCCATTTCTATGGAACTGCAGAAAATGTGACCAATGCTCAGAATTATATCAAGGAATATCTAAATAAACTAGGCAGGAACAAAAAGGTTATCTCTTTGAGAGATTCAAGATATCCACTGGGCATATTGAAAGTTCTGGCAAATTTGTACGGCTCATGGCCAGATGGAGTCATTGATCAGCTGGAACTGATAGATATTGATACCAACTTAAAACAACAACAGATCACTTTGTTTGGTGAGAGTGGTACAGTGGACAGAGCACTAGCCACCATTGGTGACCTAGCCGTGTCATACCTGTATGCTCAAGGTCCACAGGAAGGTCCATGGATGCCCTACTGCATCATGTGCAAGTGTCCAGTGTCTGATAAATCTGACCTGTACAGACTTGAGTGCTGTGGACACTGCTACTGTGTAATGTGCTTGATTATAAGCATGAATGCCTGTGTTGAAGGCAGAGATTTCCCCCTTACATGTGCTGTTGAAAGCTGCAAGTCACCTTTGGCCTGGAGGGACTTGAAAGCTTTCTTTGAGAATGAATGGCTCCTGTCTGACATCCTAGTGACCAAGTCTATTGACCACTTTGTGCTGAATCATTCAGACAAATACAAGTTTTGTTTGACCCCTGATTGTCCAGTTGTGTATGAGGTCACTAGCACAGAGGAGGGGTCAGAATTCAATTGTCCAGTTTGCTCACTAAGTGTCTGCACATCATGTCACACCATCTACCATGTTGGTCTCAATTGCAAAATGCATGCAAGCATATAAAAATATAGAACAGACTACATGCATAAGTTGAACTCTCTCATTCTCTGGATGACTCAGACTAGACTGCCTCTTTCATGTTTTAACCATTGGCCTGCAATATAATTACACTAAAATCTTTGCCTCTTTATGAAGTACCTACCATTTTCACACATGACTTACCTAGATCTTAGCTCCGTACACCATTCAATACATGTTTCTTAAAAGACATTTGACTTGGTAGAATGGCATAGCTTTTCATTTTTGTTTGCTTTACCACTGCTGTGTAGCAATGCTTATTGTATTCTGGTTTATTTATTTCTATTTTGAAATAACTCAGCCCTCTCCCTGTGGTAACTACTTACTTCCCCTTACTGTGGAGATGATTTTTATTTTAAAATCTGATGCAGATTTTTTCATTATGCTAGTTTACTTTTAAACTCTTTTTACCTTGAACAAAAAGTTGACTGATTTTATTATATCAAATTCTGTATACTCTGGCAATATGATATTTTAATAATTTGTCAACTGAAAATAAGGCTAGATAAAAAAAAAATGTTTTTATTAAATTAACCAGTTACTATATTTTGCAACTTTTTAAGATTGGTGATTGTTTTTCCTCTATTTAGCATAAACTATTTAAAATAATTATTCCTATTTACAAATGTTTTATTAGTGTGCTATCTAAATAATATTTAAAATAATTATTCCTATTTACAAATGATTTATTAGTTAAAGCTGTTTAAATAATATCAAAAATAATTATTCCTATTAACAAATGTTTTATTAGTGTGCTATCTAAATAATATTAAAAATAATGATTCCTATTTACAAATGTTTTATTAGTGTGTGGGTTTAAAGCTATCTCCTAGTTGTATTTGTGTTTACATTATTTACCCGGTGATTAAGGTCTTGTATTTAAATTTTTGTTTTGTTTTTTAAACCATGTTGTATTTTTATCTTTTTGTGATGTTCCTGCAATAAATGTTAGAGTGTCATAATTAAAATCTGTTTTTTCTTTCTTTATTGAAATTAAATCTTTGAAATGAACCCAGCTGCAATCTCTACAATTTTCACTATGGAAGAATTGATACATTAGATTAACCAGACCATCATATTTTAATGTAAATAACTACTATTATTAGTTGTAGGTTAGAGTATTTGTGTTATAAAATAACTATTTTTAGACCAACAAATGTCAAATATCGTGACAGTATAGCTTAAATATTTAAATAAAACTGGTGTGATAATTATGTAGTGAGTATTGGCCTAAAAACAAATGTTAACTATTGATGATAAAAAATGTAGAACTAGTCTAATCCTAAGTATCCATGGCCTATTCAAAACAATAATGAAGGCACTGTGCAAGAAGGAAGTAGAAGGGGAAGTCAAAGACGTCACTGGATGAAAGACATCAAAAATTGGACTTGGCTGCTCGTTGCAGAATTACTCAGAGCAGCAGATGACTCAGACAATGGGCAGAAAATTATAAGAACATCAACTTTGGTTTACACTAGCATAAATATGAAAATAAATAGATGAAATTATTTTTAAAAAGTATTCAAAAAACAACTAGCAGTTATATTTCATAATTTTAATTCATTAACAAAGCATTGTTATATGCATCCTTTAATTATCTATTGCAAAAAGAAAGGCCTTTTAAATTTTATATTAGCAACTACAAATAAATTAATATGGATTACACTCTATTGAAGAAACAAATAATGATACAAATAATGGCCTACAAAACCGTTTGTAAAAACAGATTTTTTTTAAAAACAGCAAAATAAAGTTTTAAAAAAGTGAAATTATATGCTAATTATTTTTAAAACTGTTTGGAGGCAAAATTGATGAATGTTTATCAATGACAAATGCTTTTGAAAGAACCAACTTTAAAATTCTTTTAATCCTTGTTGATTAGGTAGGCACAAAATATTATCTAGTTAATGTTTTTTACAAGCATTATTTTGAACCTTTTTAAACCTATAATAATGTAATGAGGAGCAATTTTTGGTAAAGTCAAAATATTGACAATATTCATTTGTGGTCATACTATATATAATAACAAAATAAGTTAGCATTTTTTAATACTAAAGTTATAATAATTAGTTAACTATTTATGAGATTAGTAAAACAAATTTTGCATTGAAGTCTATAACATAATTCAGTCCTTTCAAACAAGTTTTAATTTATTATCTAAAATATATTAGGCCTAATACATTAGTTCAAATATAAGTTACAATAATGGCACATTCTGTTTAAACTGCTTAGTGTGTATATATATATATATATATATATATATATATATATATATATATATATATATATATATATATATATATATATATATATATATATATATATATATATATATATATATATATTGTGACCTACTTAGGTCTGTTTGGCTTTATGTATATTTAATCTCCTGAGTTATGTATTTGTCCTTGGGAGAATTGTCAGTTCACCGGTACAAATCGGTCAACTGAACTCTGTCACATCAGGTGATTCTATCTTTAATCCCTGGCAGAACCTCAACCAATGGTCTTGCGACCGTGAGAATCCTTGACAGATCCTCAACCAATAGTCGTAAGTCTTTTGAGTTATTTCCCCTATTATTGAATGCTATTTAATCTCGGGATTTTGAAGTCCAAAAGGCAGCCAGATTGACTTTGGACCAGGAGAGTTGTGCCAGTGGTTATGTACGCCATTTTGCAGTATTGTCATTATGTGACATGATTTTCACCTTTGTATAAGGAATTATGTGACTAGTTGTAGTTTACTGAATATTTTGTTCTGGTGTATTATTGCACCTTTTTTGATTACTTCGGTGATAGTTAGATCCTTTATTTGGATTTCTTTTGTTGTAGAGGCAATAAGTCTCTTCTTGGTTTTTTGTGGTAATTATGATGCCATTCAGTTGTGTGTAGTAATGATTTATTGGTGTATAATATACTATGCCACAGCTGTGATATATTGTGATTTTCTCAAACTGTAAGTTGGAGTTTTTGAGGTTATTTATTGTACTCATAGAATCTGTACATTTTGATCTTACCTAGTGTCATTATCTTGTACATAAATTAAAAAGGTATTCATAGTTTAAGTCGTGTGAGACTCTTCGATTTGTCGTGTTTTACCCCTAGACTGCATTAACGAGCTCACGGCAAGTTGTTGAGATTCCTTTACAACGTCTTCTATCGGTACCATACCAAACGAACCTGGGGTGTCCGCTTCCTCCGCGGCTGTCGGAGGTCGGACATAACAATATATATATATAAAAGGTTGATTTAGGCATACTGGCTACAGGACATTACCCCCTTGATATTCCCCCCCCCGTATTTACCCGCCAGAGCAATTATCCCCCTGTCAATTACCCCCCCCCCCCCCTCAAGTTAAAATCCTAACTCTAACTAGAATTTCATACCTATATACTACTTTAATCCAAACCGTAAGAAAAAGACCAAAACCTAAGCATCCACCTTAGCCTAAAACTTCACACAAAACCAAAGCTAGACAAAACCCTAACACTAGCTCTAAACCTAGCCCTAACTCTAACCCTGTTTGGGGGTGGCGTAATGTCCTACTGGGCGGGGGGGGGGGGGGGGGTAATTGACAGGGGAAGTTTTTACTCTGGGGGGTAATGTCGGGGGGGGGGATATCTGGGGGGTAATTGACAGGGGGAAATGCCCTGTTCCTAGGCATACTACCTATGAAGGAAAACTTTTTTACAAAAAGCTAATTTTATGATTGTCTATACTTATTATGATGTATTTTTCTTGTGATCCTCTTCATTTAAAGGACTGGGATTATACAGGTTACAGTATGGATTACATTTTATTAGCAAATTAGGTGATACATAAAACAAAATGTGAACATTACTTAGTTTGAGCCACACAAACATTTCAGCCAAATTTTTGTTATTATCTTCTCAGTCTTTTTATAATGCTGCATATTGTTTCTCTTTATTGTAAAGGAAGTTCTTGTCTTTTACTGCTTAAACCAACCCATTGCTGATAATTTTAATTTGAAAGTGTAAAGCTTAAAACAAACATTGCATATAAATCAATCAAATAATTATTTAAAGCATGGAAGCATTGCCAATAGGAAAATCCAAAGGTAAATAAAGTAAAGGCATTTAAAAACCGGAGCTAAATCTAATTAATCGTAGAAACCCCCATGCATTTTAACAAGATGAGCATAACATTCTTGCTCTGATTGGAAATCTGCCAAACAAATCCAACAGAAGTAGATTTTACACCCACTGCAATGCATCTTATTGCATCCTCCATTTTTTTCTATCACAGTTGTACATTTGGGACAGTGCTTTCTGTTGCTCGGGTCAGCTCGTATCCATTGGTCTATATTTAAATCTGCTTCCTTTGTGGTTGCAGCCATTCTACAGGTGAGACCTGCATGGTACACTGTGTGGCAGGAGGTGCACAGGCTGACAGAGCAGGATGGGCAGGTAAACTCATCGCCCTCTTCACAGGTAGTCACCTCATACACGATAGGACAGTTGGGGGTCAAGCAGAATTTGTACTTGCTGGGATTCAGAGAAACCAATGCGTTCAGAGACCTTTGCAGCAGTTTTGCTTTGTTTACCCACTTTCTCTTGACCATAAACTGGAAATCTCTCCAGACCAAAGGCAGACCACATGTCTGACGTTCACATTTTACTGGGAATTTGTTTTCCCCCAGAGCATCGTCAAGCTGGAGCCTGAGACAGCCCAGGCAGTAGCCATGCCCACAGCCCTCAAGTCTGTACAGATCTTCTGCTGTGTCTACTGGACTCAGGCATATGCCGCAGTCTGGTAAAACTTTATCCCCATCAATGCCAGGATTTCTAGCGAGCGAAGCTTCCACCTCAGCTATTCTCGCCAACGCCTTGTCTACAGACTCTCTATCCCCAATAAGTGACAGTTCTTGCAGTTTGAAATTTATAATGACATCACTAAGTGAAAACGTTTCAACAAGGTCATCACGGAGATTTTGGAACTCTGCCATCAAAGCTTTCATTAGACCTACTGGTTTCCCTGGGCCTTTTAAGCTGACAGTCTTATGGTATCCTTGATTGATTTTATCCAAATATTTATTGATCTCTATTTTGCACTGGCTAATATTTTCTGGACTTCCGTAAAGATGAAGTTTTTCTCTACGCTCATCGATGACTATGACAATTGATAAAGATTGTTCTATTTCACGTAAAAATGCTTTCCCCTCACGATTGAGAAGTTTTTTTATTAGATTATCCTCACCACACTGGATGATCTCCCCTTGCAGCACCTTCTGAATCAAATCTCTAGCTTCAGTTTTCTCCTGAGCTTTCTCTGATGATACTTCAATGATAAAGTTCTTGTTTTTTATGATTCGTTTGGACACCACAATCTGGTTGTTCTTCTGCAAACCTTCAAAAATTTCATCCAGCTGATGTTCTGAGACTCTCATGATGAACTGGGGTACGTAAAAAGTGGTCCTGAGGTTTAGGTGGATTTGAATAGGGCTGCCAAAAATCATGCACCCTCTTACAGATTCACAAGCAGCCAATCCAGCTACTGGATCATCAAATTGAATGAAACCAATATGATCAACATGGTTCTCTTTTGGTAGTATCAAATCCAGTTCAAATTTATGTCGAGAGATATATTTTTCAAATTCTTCAACCAACTGTTGTTTGTAGCAGGACATTTCAATGTTGGTTGGGGCATTGACTTTATTGCGGACTAGGCTTACACGTATTTGTTTTTCTAAGTATTCCCTATTATCCAGTAAATGTAAAACTGCATTTTTGATCTCAGTTTCACTTGCTGACCCTGTTTTGAAGCACATTAAATCATTCTCATTTTTGGACATTTGAATTTCAAACATTCCAGTAGGCAGAGATAAGTAGCGTCCAACCAATCCTGCTTTCTCCACCGCTGGACACGCTATAAAGGCAGTCCCTGGTGGTTTAATGGGTCTTCTGCACTAGGAAAGTTTAGCAGAATAATTTCTCTTTTTCTTCTGTTGAGTTTTTAGTTTACCAACATGTGTCTCATCCTTCTGTGTACCTTCAACAGCTCTCTCTGCTTCAGCTGGTGAGCTGTATCTAACAAAACCCCAGGGCTCCGATTTTCTGAAGGATATTATTTGAAGTCTGCTAGCTGTCTTTCTTTGGCACCTGCTGTTAGCTGTTTGACTAACTCTTCACAGCATCTCATGATTTCAACAGGGGAAGTAAGAAAAACAAGAATATCACCAGGACCTTCATTCTTGTGGATATGTACTGCTTTAGCAACCGCTTTCTTTTCATAATCTTCAAACTCATTTGAATTGTCCATCTCATACAAGACATCTACTGGAAATGTCCTTCCTGAAACTCTCAACTCTGGACCACATTGGAAGTACCTGATAAAAAGTTCTGGTTCTATAGTGGCTGATGTAATGACCACTTTCAAATCAGGTCGTTTGGGTAAACAAGCTTTGATCATGCCCAGTAGAAGGTCAGTGTAAATACTGCGCTCGTGTGCTTCATCCACAATGATGCAAGAGTACTCAGTGAGCTCTGCATCTTTCAGGCACTCATTTAGCAAACAGTGGTCAGTTGAGAAGATTATTTTGGTCATTTGTGAGACCGCTTTTTAATTCCAGTTTTGTAGCCAACAAGACCTCCAACGTTTTTCACCATCTCCTTCGCCACACGTTCAGCAAGAGTTATGGCCGCCACTTTACGAGGCTGTGTACAGATGATAGCACCACTTCCTGCTAGACCAGCCTCGTACAGGTACTGGGCTATCTGGGTACTTTTTCCTGAGCCTGTCTCACCCAGTATGACAGAGACTTGGTTTGCCTTAACATGTTCTACAATGTCCTTTCTCCTGGCGTAAATGGGTAAAGCTGTGCTCAGTCGTTGACACTCCACTCCCACTGTCTCAAGGACATTGTTCAAATCTGTCATTGAAGCTGTCGGTAGATTCAGCTCTTTCACTATTTCCTTTAGATTCTTACAATTGTCTTCAAAGACTTTCAGCTGTTCAGTTAACTCAACTAATTTATCTCTTAGGGCCAGCTCTTCACTGTTGTCAACATCATCTATCCTTTCCTCTACAAAAACTTTTATATTTGTTTTTTTAAGAGTAGAATCTCTTAGGGTTCTCACTTTTTCTTTGTGTTTCCCAATAGTGTCTCTCATCTTTATATCGATTTCCATTAGAGCATCATCAAGAGCTGATTGTGTTGGTGTACGGATGAACGTTTGATTTTCAGTAAACGTTGACAAACTATCATTTGCAGCTCTTGATTTGTTAGCTTCATATTTGTTTACATAGGTTTCAGCCGAGTCTTCTGAGTTTAAAAAATCTGGTCCTTGATTTAAACAGTCTTTTGACTTTTTTCTTTCATTAACCAGAACGTTTGCTTGCTGGTAGGTCTTATCATCTCTACTTAGCTGATTATTTCTATTTGGCAACACGTTTCCATTGGGCTTCATTAGTCTAACTGGCTGATCTGTTGAAAGCATAATTTTGCCATAGGGCTTCACATCTGTAGTGTCAATCTTCTGATCTGGTGAAACTATCGGTTTGACCAGCGGCCTCACATCAGTTTGATCTATCATTTGATATTGTGAGATCATAGGTTTGACAAGAGACCTCCCATCTATGGTATCCATCTTTTGATCTCGTGAAATCAAAGGTTTAACCAGGGGCTTCCCATCTTTGGTATCTATTTTCTTATCTGGTGAAACCATAGATTGGCCATAGGGCTTGACATCTTTGGAGTCCATTTTCTGAAAAAGTGAAGCTATCTGTTTGACCTGGGGCCACGCATCTTTGGTATCCATCTTTTGATCTAGTGAAATTGTGGGTTTAGGTTTGACCAAGGGCCTCCCATCTGTGGTATCCATCTTTTGACCTGGTGAAATTATGGGTTTAGGTTTGACCAAGGGCCTCACATCTGTGGTATCCATCTTTAGACCTGGTGAAATTATGGGTTTAGGTTTGACCAGGGGCCTCCCGTCTTTGGTATCCATCTGTTGATCTAGTGAGAACATAAATTTGCCATAGGGTTTCATATCCTTGGCGTACATCTTCTGATCTGGTAAAATATATATATATATATATATATATTTATATTTATATATATATATATATATATATATATATATATATATATATATATATATATATATATATGTAAGGGGCTGGGGAGTTATTTAATTATTATTTTATTACAAAAAGGTGAATGTCACTTTTTGTGTTCCTTTGAGAATTGTTGTGGTTTTTAGTTAAGTAGTCCGCTATTATGGCGCTGATATGATTTTTATTTTAAAATGATTGATAGCCTGGTTATTGTGTCTTGCTTATATTTTGATGTTATTATTTATGCAAACTTTGTTTTGGAGTGTGGCTCCACTTTGCTTTATATCCTGAATGTAAGTTATTGTTGTATTAGGGACTATTTTCTTGTGCGTATCATTGGTTTCTTTTTTCGTAGTATTGCTTTCTTTGTTCGTGAATGTGGGGTGTCGACAGGGAGGGACATTCTGCTGGAATGTCGAGGCCTGTGTGTTGAAGAGTTTCTGTGTCACGTTTGTGGTGTATGGACGGTGGTCCGAAATTGGGTGTTTTGTTTCGCTGAGTTCTGTTTGTTTTGTATGTCCTGAGTGTTTTGTTTTGTCTAGATCTAGATTCTAGTTTTTTTATAATAATTATGGTTCCATGAAATAAATTTTATATTATTGTTAAAGTTTTTTTGTTTTATTTTAGTAGCTTATTATTTAGACTAAGGTTAGGGTTTAACCACTGTGGGTTCTACCACGGTTGCACTGACCGGACAGATTAGTTAGTTAAGCCTAGGGAAGGGTAGATAGATTTTAGGTATCCCCCCCCCCTAGCAGGGCTTACAAATTGGTAGCACGAGTGGGGTAGTGCTTTAGTCTAGTTAAATTTTTGTTTTTCTGTTAGGGCTAGTGTAGCTTAGATAAATTTTTGTTTTTGATAGGCCCTTTTTGGAACCATATGTGTTTAGTTTTTGTGTTTAGTGTAGGGATTGTTTAAACACCCAATTCGGACGAGATGGCGGGGCACCCCATGAACATCATTATTGTGCCACCCAGAGAGGTTAAAATCCAGAGGTTCCACGGAGACAGTCATGCCTCGTTGGTGGAACGTTTCATTGAAGATGTGCAGGCTGCATGGAGGGCGAGGAAAGACCTCTCTGCTGAAGAAAGAAAAGACCTCCTCTGGGAGCACCTTGGGGAGTCTGTTAAAGAGGAGCTCCGATGTAGGGGCAATGATCTGGAGCAGGACCCTGAGGCAACTTTAATACTCCTGAGTGACATCTACGGGGAAAAACGTAGCATCCCCCAACTGATGGCCCAGTTTCAAAGGGTGGTGCAAAGCCCAAATGAGACAGTGAGGTCTTATTCACACCGTCTACACCAAGCCTTTAGGGTGCTCACAGCCAGGCAAACAAACCTGCACAGGGCCCCTGTAAGTCCAGTCTTCCTGCGAGACCAGTTTGTTCAGAACCTTAATCAACCCTCTGTTAGGCGTCAGCTGGAAGAAATGGTCTTCTGTGACCAAAAGGCGTCATTTATTGTCCTTAGGGATGCGGCTATCAGGTGGGCACAGGACGAATGCCCAGGCAGAGAATCTAAGAGTGTTACAACTCCAAACACCAGGCCTGGTGTGCAAACATTTGCACCTCCCACTACATCCAACCTGGAGGACAGAGTAGACAAATTGGCAGCACAAATCTCTAGTGTTTCTGCTCTCGTTTCCCCAAGGGGAACGCGGTTTGCACCCGACAAGCAGAGACCGACTGTGAGGACCAGGTCCTGCTTCAAATGTCACCAGCTGGGCCACATAGCCAGTAACTGTTATGGCAACATAATAATGTATCCCGCTTTTAATCTGCTCACCTATTTTTTTAACATTGTTCTGTTCACATGTCTGGTATCTGCATTTTTGAATTTGTATTGCTTGCAGGTACTGCAAGCTTTACAGGGGGTGAATGTAAGGGGCTGGGGAGTTATTTAATTATTATTTTATTACAAAAAGGTGAATGTCACTTTTTGTGTTCCTTTGAGAATTGTTGTGGTTTTTAGTTAAGTAGTCCGCTATTATGGCGCTGATATGATTTTTATTTTAAAATGATTGATAGCCTGGTTATTGTGTCTTGCTTATATTTTGATGTTATTATTTATGCAAACTTTGTTTTGGAGTGTGGCTCCACTTTGCTTTATATCCTGAATGTAAGTTATTGTTGTATTAGGGACTATTTTCTTGTGCGTATCATTGGTTTCTTTTTTCGTAGTATTGCTTTCTTTGTTCGTGAATGTGGGGTGTCGACAGGGAGGGACATTCTGCTGGAATGTCGAGGCCTGTGTGTTGAAGAGTTTCTGTGTCACGTTTGTGGTGTATGGACGGTGGTCCGAAATTGGGTGTTTTGTTTCGCTGAGTTCTGTTTGTTTTGTATGTCCTGAGTGTTTTGTTTTGTCTAGATCTAGATTCTAGTTTTTTTATAATAATTATGGTTCCATGAAATAAATTTTATATTATTGTTAAAGTTTTTTTGTTTTATTTTAGTAGCTTATTATTTAGACTAAGGTTAGGGTTTAACCACTGTGGGTTCTACCACGGTTGCACTGACCGGACAGATTAGTTAGTTAAGCCTAGGGAAGGGTAGATAGATTTTAGGTATCCCCCCCCCCTAGCAGGGCTTACATATATATATATATATTTGTATGACACTTTAATTACAAGTATAAGAGATGCAAGCGTGTTTTAAATTGTAATATTAAATCCTGTTGTGCTAGGTTATATATTTTTTTTCATTTTGTGAAACTGTAAAGTTAATTGCTTTGTTCGTGGTATGCGAGAAAGGTAGAAAAAATTTAGAGAATTAACATAGAAACAAAACATTATTAATAACTTAAATAAGACTTGTCCTATATGTAAAAACAAAAATGATTTAACAAGAAATAAACTAATAATTTTGAAAACTGCTATTGTATACAAAGTTGAGGAAATAAAATATATATCAACTGAAAACAATTTAGGTGGAGAGTTGATAACGGCTTAGTTTTTACAAGCTTTTATTTAATCACTTCCTCGTTAGTCGTCAGTCTGTCTGTCAGTCTGGATCGAAACGCCGGTGTGAAATTGCAGGCATTTCTAACTGACAGACACGGTTCGCATTGGTACGTGGGTCAAGACATGAAGACAATGCATTATGACATTAAATTTGACTTAATTGGATGCCTAATTATTTTTTTATAAAATTAATCAAAATTTGGACCGAATTAGTAGGCAGTTCTATCCACACGCGTCATGACGGCCGTGTTGGGCGTGCAGCGAGGGAGGGCGCAATGATTTTTAGTCGGGTCAGCAGTCTAGTTCTTTACCACTAGACTACGCCATCCCATAATACTTTACTGAAACTTTAGCTATAAACTTGACAATGGTTTTTAGTCATGTAACTCTATTGTAAATAAAACATGTAAAGTACTGAAAAATTACGCTTTTCTTTATAGTTATTTAAATAGTAGTGTATAATTTATTTTCTACTTTTTAGTGCATTATTACATAAAAGCTTGTTATTAAAACGTTTTGTTAAGAATTTTTTTACAAGCTATTATTACACTCACTTCCTCGTCAGTCTGTATGTCTGTCTAGATCGAAACGCTCGTGTGAAATTGCAGGCACTTCTAACTGAAAGATACGGTTCGTAGTTGGTACGTGGGTCAAGACATGAAGACAATGCATCGTGACATTATATCAGAGTTTCTTCCAGGCATCTCTAATTAATTTTTATGAATTAATTAAAATTTGGACCGAATTAGCAGGCAGTTCTATCCACACGCGTCATCACGGCCGTCTTGGGCGTGGAGCGAGGGGGGGGGGGGGCTCTACGACAAAAGTGCGTCATCAGGTTCAATAGGCGCTCAATGGTTTTTAGTCGGGTCAGCAGTCTAGTTCTTTACCACTAGACTACGCCATCCCATAATACTTTACTGAAACTTTAGATATAAACTTGACCACAGACTGAACAGTATTAATGTCTTCGGTTAAAGAAGTGTTAAAGATTTGTGTTCTAGGATATGTGTTCAGCTAATTGTGGCAATTTTTGGATTGTACCTAAAACATCAGTAAATGTGATACTCAATGTAAAACTAATCATATTATTAAAGCAAAACTGTTTTCAAATTGTGTATCATATATTTGTTGATACACTATATTGTCTTAACATGCGTATAACTCGTTAATACTAAAAAGTATAAAAATAATAAATACATAAAAACATTTATAATTACAAGCTTTTATAAATGCACTAAAAAGAAGAAAATAATACAATTTTTATTAGGTATAAAATAATTTTTATTCACCAGTCGACTCTCTTAGTATTAATCTGGAAATGAATATTGGAAATCTACACAAGTGTGTAATTTTAAACGCGTGACCTTGTTTTCTAAAACTGAGTTTTTAAAATGTAAAGAAAGCAGGCGATATATTTCTTAGATCTTAGCTGTTATAGTGCTTGTTTGTCCATGCTACCAACCAGACGCCCCATTGCGTGCTGTATAAAAGTCTCGAGTCACCCTCCGTAATATTGAGGTAAACGCCGTTCGGCGATGGCTCATTTTTCAGGGGCGTCGCGGGGCGTTTTGGGGAGCTACCGGTTACACTACTGCAGGGTCGCCGTGTACGGCCCATGGTTCGGTTTAATCATTGAATGGCATATGCCATCGTATCCCTTTTGTATCGTGCTGTTTTAAAAAAATGTAGGTGCCAAAATGCACCCTACTGGGGCGCCGCTCCTTCGAAATTAAATTTCGTTTTCGCAAAAACCTCCCAAGGAGTATTCTCAACAACTTCCCAAAGGCTGAGTAATGCATAAAAGACATACACACTTACAAACATATATATATATATATATATATACATACATATATATATATATATATATATATATATATATATATATATATATATATATATATATATATATACACATATATATATATATATATATATCAGGGGCGGAACTACAGTGCCGCCAGACCCCGCAATGCGGGAGGGGGGGGGGGGGGCACGCCATTTAGGGGCCACGGCCGACCCTAATAAGTTTTATTATAGTTAAAAAAATCTAATTTTCTTGCAACTTTTTACTTGATGTTTGTTTTGTAAAACGATTACCATAGCTGCGGTTTGATTATCTTTATTCTATAGACACCATCCCCACGCTCTTGTATATTCTTTTTCCCTTTCTTTTTAAACCACTGTGAAAGCCAAGTCCTCTCTCTTCTACAATTAAACTTAACAAATATAAGCAAACCTTCAAACCACTTCCATGACTTATTTCCCTTTTTAAATAGTCAAATTGGGGTGCTCATAAGCTCCTTTTAATAGATTTGTACTAAACAAATTAAAAAGCAATTACTTCTGTTACTAAATATTTTTTCATAAAGTACTTACATGACCTCGTATAAAAAGGAAATGTATTTAAAATTAAGAATATAAATACAAAAAAAAATAATCATAGCACGAGACACCATTACTTCTACAAAGATTTCACGTTTTATATTCTTTTGGCCAGATAGATGGTAAAAGAACCCAAAGCAAATAAAATAAAACTGTTTTTCTAAAAACACACTAATGCACTTACACACATGATATTATGCAGTAATTTCTTTTATTTTGAAAAAAAAAACCATTTATTTTTTTCAAAACCCGAACAGGCCAGCAATGAGTAACCTATGCTGTGTTCGTACTTTGTGTTAGTATATATATATATATATATATATATATATATATATATATATATATATATATATATATATATATATACAAGGGGGGCCTAAAAAATTTTTTTTGCGGGGTGGCCATTTTTTTCTAGTTCCGCCACTGATATATATATATATATATATATATATATATATATATATATATATATGTATATATATATATATATATATATATATATATATATATATGTGTATATATATATATATATATATATATATATATATATATATATATATATATATATATATATATATATATATATATATATATATATATAAAGTATGCTTGTGGGTTTGTCTTTTATGCATTACCATACCTTTCATCTGATCGCCATGAAGTTTTTGGAAATTGTTGAGAATACTCTTGAGGGGTATTCTGCACACACAAAAAAAATGTTTTAATTGCGCAGGAGCGACAGCCCGGCAGGGTGCAAATTAGCGCCGCGAGTTTCCTCGTGAGCGCTATGGCGCATACGTTCGTTTTAAACATTGCTTTAGACTAAAGATAAGATGTGGTTTTATATTCGTTCTTTAAATAGAATAAAGCCGGCACCCCAAAGGGTGTGATTTGGCGATCCGGACTTTCCCCTGATCGCTATGGCGCCTATGTTCGTTTAAAAAAAGGATAGAATGTGAATACGATGGGTTACTATTATCGTTCACTAAATTGAATCAGGCGTGTCCTCAAGGGTTTATACAGGACGCACTGGGTCGTGCTGGGCGTTAGTGTGAGCAAACCTGTGCCCCTACAAATAAGATCCAAGAAATATTGCGCATTGTCTACATTTATATAACTCAGTGTTAGAAAACAAGGTCACACGCCAAAGAATAAGATTGGTAACGCAACGATGAAACCCTCATAAAATATTACGTCAGACTTTCTTCTGAGACCGCGGCGAATAGCTGGAACGAGCATACTTATATATATATATATATATATATATATATATATATATATATATATATATATATATATATGTGTGTGTGTGTGTATGTGTGTGTGGGTGTGGGCGTTTTCGTCCATAGTATGAATTTACCTGTTTATCTAAATCTCGCTATTTTTCGTGTTTTTTCTCCAGATTATTTAAGCTCTTGAGGTGACCTGCAGTTGCATTAGGTTTAGATACTTGAGCCTTAATCTCTGTTACATGACCAATACCTGAGACTCAATAGCACTTTTGAGAGCATTAGCAATATAATGTATTGATTTTTATGTTAATTTATTTATCTGTATTATGTTCCCTATTGCCTTGATTGAACACCTATTGCCAAAAATTCTATTCTAAATTTTTACTTCAAAAATTTACTTTAAATATTTAATGATAAAGCAATTCATTTTACTGGCAGTTAGCTAGAAATAAACTAATACAATAAGCCTGGCATATAACTAAAACTGAAAAATAAAATACTGAAAACTATTTGGCTAAAAACGTAAGACCTGTGTCAATATTTGAAATTAACATAGTAAGCTGTAGCCTACACCGCACTATCAACTTCAAATAAGCTTAAAATATTAATTGGTATAATGGTAAAGTAATACAATAAGTAAGTGATTTATTAAGTCATAATTATTAAATTAGGTTGCCAAATATTTACTAGACTAAAAATGTATTTTATAACACCAGTTAATTAGGCCAACCTGGTTAACTGTAATTAACTATATTTTCATTTTACAGCCTCGTGATATCATGTTACTTACTAACTCAGTGTAATAATAATGATAGTAATAATAGTAGGCACTAAATAATAATGAAATAACAAAATGTTAAGTTGCATATGGCCATGATATACTATTTTACTATATCCTACTAGTAATATAATTGATAATTAAAAATTACATAGTATGTCTGTCCTATATGTGAGCGGCTGGAGTGTGTTTATCTGTTATTATAATCATTGGTAACTAAGAAGGCGAATGTCGCTTTTTGTGTTCCTTTTAGGATTGTTGTAGTTTTTAGTTAAGTAGTCCGCTATTATGGCGCTGATATGATTTTGATTTTACAATGGTTTGTAGCCTGGTTATTGTGTCTTGTTTATATTTTAATGTTATTATTTATGCAAACTTTGTTTTGGAGTGTGGCTCCACTTTGCTTTATATCCTGAATGTAAGTTATTGTTGTATTAGGGACTATTTTCTTGTGCGTAGCTTTGGTTTCTTTGTTCGTAGTATTGGTTTCTTTGTTCGTGAATGTGGGGTGTCGACAGGGAGGGACGTTCTGCTGGAATGTCGAGGCCTGTGTGTTAAAGAGTTTCTGTGACACGTTTATATGGTGTATGGTAACGTAGGGTTATTTTTATAGTGTTTTATTATGTTTTCCATATTTTTGTTTGCTTATTTTGTATACAAAGTGACTACGTACTAGATCTATTTAGTCTTGACTTTGAGAAGTTTCAATGTTTGTTTTATCCAGACCACGTGGTAGCACGATGGCCTGGGTTTAGTCATGGATTATTGTAGATTTTACTTTCATTTATGAGAGCCTCTTGTTTAGGCTGACAATTGTGTCAGCTTACTGTCTTGTGTATAACCTTTTTTTACATTTTAAATTAATTTGTCTTATTTTTCCTCTTTCTAGGACAGTGGTCCGAAATTGGGTGTTTTGTTTCGTTGAGTTTTGTTTGTTTTGTATGTCTTGAGTGTTTTGTCTAGATCTAGATTCTGGTTTTTTATAATAACTTTTGGTTCCATATTTATTATTTTGTTAAATAAATTTTATATTAACTGTAAAAGTTTTTGTTTTATTTTAGTAGCTTATTATTTAGACTAAGGTTAGGGTTTAACCACTGTGGGTTCTACCACGGTTGCACTGACCGGACAGATTAGTTAGTTAAGCCTAGAAGGGTAGATTTTAAGGTATCCCCCCCTAGCAGGGCTTACATATAGTTAAAGTAATAAAAAATAGCCGATTAATAATAGGCGTATATATTCTAATTTGAATAAGTAAACAAATATAATATAACTAAAGACTTACATTAATTTGACAAATAAGTAAATTTTAATAAACTATAAATAAATAAGCTTACTGTAAACGTCTATTTCAGGATTCAGACTGACTGTTTTAGAAATGTTATTAGGGGTTTAAAAAAAAACCCAGCTTAGCGAGAGCTTATGATTTCGCGGTATCATACATTACTGAAAACATAATCTGAAAGATTTTAATTCTTGGAATTCTCGTTTCATTCTTAATGGAAAACAAAAGTAAACACAAACTCATTTAATTTATAGTATGTAAAGATCATGTTAAATTTAATTAGAATTCTGAAATATGTATAGCAATCTTAGGCTACTTGCCTAGTTTGATGCAGTGCCAACATGCAGGAACAAATTTTATTCACATCGTTTCTTAGAAAGAGACCGTCCGTTCTATTTATAGCTGTTCCGCTTCTAATTATTAAAAAGCTTTTATTTAACTTGCTTCCTCTTGTCTGCCTGTTTGTCTACCTGTTGTCATAGATCGAAACTGCCGAGTGAAATTTCGGTAAAACTGCATTTTAGCGTATTTCATTCGCCGCATCACGTTCACATCCAGTTGAGCATATTTTATTATAAACACAACCAAAACACACATAAACGATAGGAAAACATTGGGCTTATTTCTTAATAAAATATTGTTTTAGTTTTTGATGGTTTATTTTTGTCAAAACTTGAGAAAAATCCAAATTTGTAATATTGAATGTGCTTTGTTCGTGTGTGAGTTAAGATATTCATAGCAATGGGTGAAGTACGGGGGGTGGTAAAAAAACTATGATATGTTCCGGAAAACTACGGAAGACCCTTAGAACTGACAGGTCCGAATTTTCCCTATATAAACATTGTTAATTTTCTGACTCATTTCAAAACAATGTTTTGGAACTTGGGCTCTGTACGTCTCGCTCATTGTTACCATAAACCTGTGTAAATGAATCGGCCTTATGGATATAGTATCGGCCAGTCTCTGCTCGTGCGGCGAGGGCTAAAAAGTGACCACGAGTGAAATTCTGTTTATATGAGCTATTTATCGGAAAATATTTCCCACGTAGGAACCCTTTGAAAACTCTTGGGGTTGTACATCGGCCCCCTAGGCGTGAGCAAAAAAAAATAGTGCTACCCTCGATAAAAAAACCCCTGAACAATGTTTTAACTGACCAGAGGCCATATTTTACTATAAACATATTACCGTTTTTGAAAAAAAAATACAAATATCAGGACGTACAAAACCATTCATAACTCTTGAGATCGTAGAAATACCCGCGGCGGTCACTATAGAATTGGCGTTATCTTCGGGGAAAACTTCGGAAGGCCTTTAGAACTGACCGGTCCGAATTCCCTATAGAAACTTTGTTAATTTGGTGAAAAACGATGACTATTTTCAAAACAATACTTTAGAACTTTGGCTCTGTACATCTGGCTCATTTTTTGCATAAAGCTGAGTAAATGAATCGGCATTATGGATAAACTATCGGTCAGCCTCTGCTCGCACGGCAAGGGTGAGAAAGTGACCACGAAATTCTCCTTACATGAGCTATAAATAAAAAACTTGCCGATATTTTGTGAGGTCGTAGACTGACCCTGAGGGTAACAAAAAAAAAAAAAAAAAACTACGTTATTCGGTCAATTTAAAAGATAGGTAACTTTTTAAAATAAATATTTTTAAAATAATTTTATATGAACTCACGGCGAACCCTCGACCATGTAGGGATTTTTCTCCCGCTGACGATCACACGCTATTTAATTGGAACTGTCCTGCTGCTTTTTAATGTTTTTTTTTTTTTTTTACCTTTTCTAATTAAAACTCGCGTTCATAAAAAAAGTAGATCTAGATATAGTATGAAGTGGATTGTTATCTTTTAATTCTAGATAGATAACACAACAGACGAGGAAGCCATTTTGTACCTTGTTTATTCTGTATCGGAAACGGAAACATAACATGCAAGGGACATCACTCAAACATTATAAGACTAATACAAGAAGAATGAGTTCCCCCCAAAATAAAGCTCAATATATTACATAGTAGATCTAGATCTAGTTGATCTAGCTCTAATCCTAGTGTTTTCCTTACGTTTTTGTGTGTTTCGGTTGTGTTTATAATAAAATTGTTTCAACCGCAGGTGAACGTGAAGCGGCGAATAAAATTTTAAAATGGAGTTTTACCGAAATTTCGAGCATTTCTAACTCACCGATGCGTTTCAAACTTTGCACGTAGGTCAATATACAATGGCAATGCAATCTGATATCAAATAATGAATCCATTAGATGCCTAATTTTTTTGAATTAATTAAATATACTAAATAGCCTAGAGGGACTTACTATTTACTTTACCGCATTATTAGACACGCATTTTCCTTTTCAATTAGTCGTGAACATTGGTGTAGTCAGGATCGCCTCCAGAGTTTCTTCCAGGAATGTGATGTGATGTTATGTGATGTGATGGGTTGTGATGTGATTGATGTGATTGATGTGATTGATGTGATTGATGTGATTGATGTGATTGATGTGATTGATGTGATGTGATAGGCTAAGCTAGGATAGGATAGGGTTTAATTCGTTTACGATTCGCTTACGTTACGTTTACGTAACTTTTACGTAACTTTTACGTAAAGTTTACGTTTACGTTCATGTTAGCGTTCGTGTTTTTGTTTGCATTCGAGATTGTGTTTGCGTTTGCTGTTGTGTCTAAGTTTGCGCTGGTGTTTGCATTTGTGTTTAAGTTTGCGCATTTTACGTTTGCGGTTTTTTTTATGTTTGCGTGTGTGTTTTTGTCTGCGTTTGCTTTATTTATTATTTACGTGGGTAGCAAGAACACTACAGACCACCAGTATTCTACCTATATAATATATCGTTACTAAGGTAGCTAACATGATATTAGGGGCTTATTGTGGTAGGTTTAGTGCAGTGCAAAAAAACAAGTGTATAGTTGTAATTATTTCATAAATGAGTATGTAACACCTCTTTTTTAGAATGTGGATGGATTATGACATATCTTACACAAATCAACAAACAAAAGCCCCGGGCATTTATTGGATTTTAATCCCAACCACAGGAAAGAGAAGTGTTTGTTTTCCAAAGAAGTGTTTGTTTTCCAAAACAAACACGGAAAATATCAGACCAACAAAGCACAAGCAGGCAGATTTTAATAAATGAGCAGTTTTTGTGAATGTATTGCTGCTTTACTACATTTTGATTAAAGTTTTTTTCAAATTTTGAAATTAACTTTGTAAATATTATGACTGATATGAGAATGGATCTTTTTGTATGTTGAAAATCATAATATTAGCCATGATGTAGCGAGGATATAAACAGGATGAGCTAAGGTATAGCCAAGATATAGCCATTATTGGGCCAAGATATAGCCATTATTGGGCCAAGACGTAGCTAATATTGGACCAAGATATAGACAATATTGGGCCAAGATAAAGCCAATTTTGGGCCAAGATATATCCAATTTTGGGCCAAGATATAGCCAATATTGGGCCAAGATATAGCCATTATTGGGCCAAGATATAGCCATTATTGGGCCAAGATAAAGCCAATTTTGGGCCAAGATATAGCCAATTTTGGGCCAAGATATAGCCAATATTGGGCCAAGATATAGCCATTATTGGGCCAAGATATAGCCATTATTGGGCCAAGATATAGCCAATATTGGGCCAATATGTAGCCGGGATATAGCCAATATTGTGCCAACATTGCGCCAACATCATGCCGAGTTTCACTACCAATGTTTGGCCAAGGTTAAGCCAATGTTGCACCAAGATGTAGTAAATATTGGTAACCAATGTCTAGCCAATATTAGGCCAATATAGATCTATATGTACTGACTGGGTAGGACATTATCTCGACCCGAAAGCTGCAGTAGGGACATTACCTACATTGCCTGATAGTCCTATGGGATATATAGAATTAGGGGTAATCCATAAATGATTTCACGCTTTTCTGGACGATTTTTACCGGATTCCCCCCCCCCTTCTATCCTCCTTCACACATCGTCACAAAAGCCAGACCCCCCTAAAAGACGTCACACCTCAGCCTACAACCTCCCATCAAAATTGCAGTTGATTTTTTTTTAAACAGCGATATTGTAATATATTGAGAATTGTGAAGTCAAGGGAACTCACTCTTCTTGTATAAGTCTTATATTTATAATGTTGTTTTGAGTGATGCCCCTTGTATATATATGTCATGTGACTTCCTGTTCCGTCAAGGTAGGTGAATAAAAGTCTAGATATACATCAACATGGCTTCTATCGTCCAGTGTGTCCTAATAAAAACATCAATCTACCTCAGATATTTTCCCCAAATCTTGTTTGAGCGCTGTCAACATAGTATTACAACTTATTAAAACAGTTTTCTAAAACGCGAAATAACGGCTAAATTTGTTTTCTAGCATTGCTTTTTATAATGTAAAAGTGTGACGTCATTTATCGACGACCCCTTAGGGTATTAGACACCACCCCCTGTCAGGACGTGCATATATACACATATAGAAAACATTAATAACCCTAAATCTAACCATAACTACAACCTCAACCGTAAACAAACAAAAAAAACACCCTAAACCAACCCTCACCTCAAAAAAAAATAAAAACCTTCGCAGTTAATGTAGCCCAACCCATCATGGCTGTGCTATAATCTGAAATAAATGAAATCATTACTGACCTGAAGAAAAATAAAGGTGTGGAGATCATACAGAGAGAAAAAAAAAAGGGGGATTTTGCTTTAGATATTCTGTCTTCTAGGCCGGAACTTCTGGTTGAAGCAAGAGATATACTGCAGAAGGAGCTGGAAGGTTTGACCGTGGAATGTAGTGGAAACGACATCCTTAAAATACTTGTCAAAGCACAAGGAGAGAAGCTTTTGCAAGAGGTTGAGAAGAGCCACTCTGTGGTGATCTTTGTTGACAGCCGCAAGGAGAGGATCCATTTCTATGGAACTGCAGAAAATGTGACCAATGCTCCGAATTATATCAAGGAATATCTAAATAAACTAGGCAGGAACAAAAAGGTTATCTCTTTGAGAGATTCAAGATATCCACTGGGCATATTGAAAGTTCTGGCAAATTTGTACGGCTCATGGCCAGATGGAGTC